GCGTTTGTACATTGTGACCGGAAACTTTTCGGTCACAATGTATACCAGTGACCCACTGTATAAACATCCCATAAATTTGGTTCATCACTTCAATCGTTTTGATCAGAGTGTAACCAAATTAAAAACAAAAGCTAAAACCATTTAAAAAGCAATAACTATATTTCTATTTGTCCAAATATCATAAAATTTTGATATGATTCTACCTAACCAATAATCGATAGCGTTGGCCCAATATCTATTTTGAAATCCTGTGAACTTTGGATTATTATTTATTAATTGAGTTATTTCAAAGAAATAAAAGTTGTAGAAACAAATAAATGCTTTAATGAATATAAAGACATTGCTACATTGGTATAAGAAGAAGAATAATGAACATTGAAGACTTCCAGAAAAATATAGTATGCTGAAATCAATCGTTGATAGTTCAAGGCAAAGGAAAAGTACAATACAATGGTATACATCCAAATCCATTAACGAATTACTATATATGGCTAGAAATAAAGAAAATTGGAAATTATTTATAAATAGGCTAAGTTGTTAATTATTGTAATTAATAACATGCTAAAATAATTAATAATAAAAATAATAAATAATCGTTGGTAACCAAAACAATAATTCCCATAGCAGAATATTTATTCAAGGATATAATAAAAGTAGCTCGATTTCTCATAACAAACTGTGAATTTTGAAAATATATGTAGTAGAAGTAGAATAAAGCGATAATGGTGATAAGTGAATATATGGTATAAGATATAGTCAACATTATTTACTGAAATTATTAAGTGAAGTTACTTCTTTTCTGATATTTTTATTTTTGAATCGAAAAACACCTATAATATATTGCTGTCAACACAATCTCAACTATATTTAATATTTACTTACATGAATTCATACGCAAGATTCAACACAGCAGTTGTAATATATAATAAGATACTTAATACATCTTTTAAGAATATGCAACAATTAATAATCACAATAATTAACAAATTCTAAATATGAAAACGAGAAAGTATAGTTAAGTGTTAAACACTAAAACATTAAGTCCGTTCCAGTATTCTCTGGAACGGACTTAACCTCTGTGTAGGTTAAAACCTACATCTAACATATATACCAGCTGCAGCCATAGAAATAAAAACAAAAAAATTTCAAATATAATTTACTGAAGTAATTAACTAAAACATTGATTGCAACGACCAAAAAGTTAAAAATCATTTCTATTTAATTTCTATCAAATTCGAATTAAGTTAATAACAATTAATTATGTATATAAAATTATAAATTTGTTTTTTATATCATCGTTAATTATTTTTTCGTTACCCTAAGTTTTATATAGGTACATATATAACTTTTCGTCAGACTTGTATGCAAAAGCGTATCAATATCATTTATATGATTTTGCTTAATTTTAACGAATACAGATTATTTTTAAGCAATTTTTACGGTTTAGCAATATACGAGAAAAATGTAGGTTAGGTTAAATAAATAAAAGTCTTCAGGAACATTTTTAAGCCGCGCATGTTGTATATACCAGTGACCCACTGTATAAACATCCCATAAATTTAGTTCATCACTTCAATCGTTTTGATCAGAGTGTAACCAAATTAAAAACAATTAATTATTATTAAAAACAATTAAAACAATTAATTATCTTATCTTCTTTAAAGTAGAGGCATTGAAAGCATCTATCCATCCTCTAGTATGGTTTCCTAATATATGGTATTTCTATCAGAAGACTGATATCTTCGTGAAACATCGTAATGATTGCTACATATTTTCTGTTCCTGGAAGCACCAACTTTCATACTTATGTTTGCATAACAACACTTAAACATACAGATTATATTACCTTATCAAGTAAATAATATAGTTGGGAACAATATATTCATAAACTGTTTAAATTAAAATATTGAAAAAGCAGAATTCAAATAATATTAAATTGATACCATTACCGTACAGTAATATGATATAACGAAAATAAGAAAGAATGGCTAGAAAAAGGACTGAAGTAGTCAAATAGTCTATTTACAACAAAAGAAAAAATTTGCATCGCAGTTAATATATAAGCTAGGAACTCTAAGAAATCCAAACAAAAATATACTAGTTGAGAATAGTTAAATGGAATAGTTGATAAAGGTGATGGTGAGACAGGTATTGGGGATATAATTCAATAATTTATTGGATATTCTTATATGCATATATGGCACAAAAAATGTATATATTTCTTATTATAGTTCATTAAAATAACTACTGTTTTATTTATAAAGTAATTTAATTTTTTTCTTTTTGTTAAAGTAGGGATATTTTCATATAGCTTCGTAAGCTGATAATCGATGAAGTAATGTAATGAGAAACGTCTAAACGCTCCTTGTTTTTGATGTGATTTTCATATCTATCAATATTTCTTTATTTAGTGTTATTTTACATACTTAAAATTTTAAATTAAAATTAATTTTTATAAACCACTTGACAATATCTACGTGATATTTTTCGAATAACGAAAAAAATTATATAACCTGATTTCTCCATAAATCGTTAACTCAGTAAAGTAGTAATTTCATTAAATATTACATTATTTAATATTTTCATATTTTATTATTTCGTAAATTTCATGACATATAAAACTTTATCAATTTACTGAGTTACCGGCACGTCCGATTACCCCTAGTGTGAAGATATTTTATTAAATTAAATATTTCTCAATTTGGTCCAATGACTCTTGCATAGAAGTTTAGACACCTACATGCAGAACAATCTAATAAGTATACAAATGTACCAAAATATAACAAATCAATAAATAATATTTTTGATTTAATATAGTATAAATATTTATTGCAGATTGTAAATAAATTTAAATATATTACTAACAAAAAATAAAAATAAATATTTAAAAAATAGCCCAATACAATTTAAAGTTTATTAAATAATTTAAAACATAAATGTAATAAAACTGTAAAAATCTAATACATGATTTTTGTTGTATGTTATAGACACAGGAATAAACATATAAATAAAATGTCTTGAGACAAAGAATTTTTACCATTTATTTTATTTTATTTTGTTCTAATTTAGTTTTTAATATAAATTTTCTACATTTTTAGCTTTAACAATTTTAGTTGAATATAGAAAATACACGAGTTATCAAATAAATATTTGCATTAATATTCAATAATAATCATTTAAATTTAAATAAATATACAAATTACTCAATATATATACAATATAATATAGTCTACTTATATTTTTGTCTTACTTTAAAAATACCGTTTTCTTATTGATTTGTTTTCTTTTAGTTAATACACATATTTTGTGTTTTTGTCTTTCACAAATACATTTTTAAATTTAGTTATTTAATATGCACACAAGTTTACACCTTGACAATGGTATTAAAAGCTTAGGCGGTAACATTTAAAAATATGCCAACAGGGATGTTAACCTCACTTCACATTTCTGCACATGTATCCGAATCAATCAATGCAGCTGTTGTTTTTCGAACATGAAGCTTTAATTGTTTATTCATATTTTAGTCTTACTCAAATATTTGAAACCTCTAAATAATTGTATACCTTTCTTGAAGTTAATATTGTAATTAGTCACCGTTCAAAACCTTCAAACCTTCAAAACCTGCAAAACCAAATAATAACAATAATAATTTTCGAAACTTAGCTATACGTCAGTAGCTACATTTTCCCTAAAGATACGGCACATGGAATTTTGGGAATCTGCAATTTAAATAAATTTTTAATAGAACGAATCTCAGACTCTCTAAATAAAACGGACTTCAAGTTTATTGATTTTTAAATATACTACATAATATACTATATTATATATTACATATATATAATAATATATATATAAATAACATATATATATATATATATATATATATATAGTAAATTGCATATATCTTGTATACGTAATTCGAATATTTTTTTCTAAATACTACTAAAAATAATGTCCTTTAGAAATTTCGATTTTTTAATAATATAACCAAATAATATAAAAAAATCATTGTTAAAATTAATAGCTAATATAAGTACTCAAACATGAACAATAACAGTTTTTTAGAGTATTTGTAATATAGTATATTACAAATAATATATGTATATATATTATATATATATATATATATATATATAATATAATATATATACATATATTATTTGTAATATACTATATTACAAATACTCTAAAAAACTGTTATTGTTCATGTTTGAGTACTTATATTAGCTATTAATTTTAACAATGATTTTTTTATATTATTTGGTTATATTATTAAAAAATCGAAATTTCTAAAGGACATTATTTTTAGTAGTATTTAGAAAAAAATATTCGAATTACGTATACAAGATATATGCAATTTACTATAGAAACTAAAATATTTCAATCTTCAGTAAAAAAGAGTAAAACAATTACCCATATTCATATGTATAAATATGGTATAAACCTTCGATTCATTTCAGGGGAACGGTTAAATGGGTATTAGGGACCTGGCCTACGTGGATATAAAAGAAAAATATCGTAAAAAAGTCACCATGATTGGTAGTAAGACATAAGACTTGCCTGTTCTTTTTTACTATAGCTTGTCCATGAGTTAACTAAGGTGCAGTATGAAGATATTACCTTTAAATGTCAATATTTTAAAAAATATTTAATATAATAGAAGTAAAAACAGGGGATAATCATGAAACTCCATAAATTTCAAAAGATTATGATTATTTGATTATTTTCTTTGGAAACACTTTCAAAATTACTGTTCAAATATTTTTTCTAATTCATCACTTCAACTTTGAGTGCGTTCACAGTATTAAATTAAGTCTCAATACTGACTAAAGTATGATTTAAGTTATTAGCATGTATTCTAAACACAACTATATTACATATGTTTGCATAACTAACATATATTCAGGACGAAAAAGCAAAAGACAGAAACAAATTGTCAGACTATTTCCTTCCCGCAGTCTGTACCAAATATGTCATATAATTCTGACTATAGATGATATTTAATTTTGAAAGTTCAAGCACTGGTACGGAGGTCGTATAAAAGACAAGTTTAACGTTAGAGTCAAGGGCACGTCAAAATCAAAATTGCTGCTTTCAATCCCAATTAAAAAATTAAGAGAGAGAAAAAGAAGTGTCGGTTGAAATTCGGTTATGAAAGCCGAATTTCTTTCTGTGCCTCGTCACTTAGTCAAAGCAGTGTTATAGGCATGTATGTATGTATAGATTTCCTTTAAAAATTAGACACAACAAAAAAATATGAAAGTAATAGTAAAACTTTATTATCCAAATTTTTAATTCCCTTGCAGTCTTTAGAACTTTTTATATTGTCTTTAGAACTTCTAACGGTCGATTATTATATTTAAATAAATTTCTGAAAGATTGACGCGGGCATAACAACTGAGTTTGATAATAATCAAAATGTATATGCATGAAAATTTGATTGTCAACTTCAAGTTTTCAAAGTAAACTTCTCTTTTTAAATAATGCCACATGAACGCCACATCACTTACCCACCAGTGGTTGAGTAGAAACTATGCCACGTTATACACACTTGATTCTATGTCATAAATCTGATAGGTAATCGAATAACTCTGCCACTAGATGTGCTGCGACCAGAGTTGAACTCCTGCTGAGGTCTTCGTACAGATTGTGCACCTGGGCTTGACTGAAATGGAGTAGACCGTGACAACTGCGTGCTTGGTTCGATTTCTTCATTCAACAAATAAGCTGCCTTTACTCTATCAATGCTCACTTGAACAGGTCGGTCTTTGATTAAAATAGTAATAAGTTTACGATCACGCCGTATCACTTTGAATGGTCCATCATAAGGTGATTTCAAGAGGGGTCGTACGTTATCATCCCTTAGGAACACATGTGAACACGTCTGCAGGTCTCGTTGTACGAACGTTTTCGCTTTTGCATGATTTGAACCTGGAACCGGACGTAATTGATCCATGGTCTCTCTAAGAAACGTTGCAAATTCGGAGTCACAACCGATGTGAGACGTCTTCTCAAAGAATTCTCCTGGAAATTTAAAAGACGTGCCGTATACCATTTCTGCTGGACTAGCTTGGATGTCGTCTTTGAATACACTCCGTAAAGCTAGCAATATCAGTGGTAATTCATCTGTTCACCTTTGGTTCGACTTACATTTCAGTGCGGCTTTTAATGTTCTGTGGAATCGTTCCAGAATTCCGTTCGATTGTGGATGTCGCGAACTTGTACGTAGAACATCTACGCCAATCGCGCCAATCAACTGCATAAGCTCAGCGAATAGCTTTGATTCGAACTGCCTGCCCTGATCTGTAGTGATGTCTGAAGGAACGCCATAGTGTGAAACCCATCTCGTGATGAACGCCGCAGCTACTGTGTCTGCATGAATGTCTATAATGGGAATATCAAGAGGCCATCGGGTAAATCGATCTATGCATGTCAGGCAGTAGCTGTATCCGTCTGATGATGGTAATGGCCCCACGATATCAACGTGTACTGCTGCAAATCGCCGGTCAGGTGCCTTGAAGGTTCCGAGTACTGTTTTGTTGTGTCTACCTATTTAAGCTCGCTGGCATTGTGGACATGTTTTTACCATTTTCACTACATCTCTACATCCCACACTACATTCACTGATCAGTTTTGCTGTGTCCTTGCTACAGATGGTTGGCCTAAATTATGTATGGTGTAAAAAACTTGCCTACGAAATTCATCTGTTATTCACGGTCGCGCATGATTTGTTGAGAAATCGCACGCAATGAGATTCGATGAACTAGGTAGATGCACCAATTTTAGTTGAAGCGAAGTCTTAGCCTGTGATAAGAGTTGTTGTAGCTCCAGGTCATTTCGCTGGCTTTTTGCTAACTGCTCAAAATCAATCTGCTTTTCTCCCTGTATTTTGTCAATACGTGATAGGAAATCAGCTACGCTGTTATCTTTTTCGGGGAAATGTCTGATATCAGTAGTAAATTGACCTATGTAACCCAAATGACGGAGTTGTCTGGGCGATACTTTTTCAGGATTTTGCTGAAATGCGAAAATTATGGGTTTATGATCAGTCAAAACCGTTCAGTTCCTGCAAGCGTTTTCTATAATCAACCAATGCTGATTCGGCTTCTTTTGTCCACTTAATCGGCGTTTTGTCATTTTTCCGATTTCTTGCGCACTGCTTGGCTTCGAACAATTGAGAATTGCTTCAACCCTTTCTTTTGGCGGACGAATGCCATTTTGATCAATATTGTGACCGAGAAAGGTAACTTCTGTCTGCGCAAAGACGCACTTGGTAATGTTGAGTTTTAGACCGTATTGGTGTCAACGCTAAAACACTGTGCGTATGTGTTGAATGTGTTCGGCTTCATTCTTAGACGCGATGCAGAGCCGCATTGCACAGCCCGAATGTCACCACATTAACCTCGAACAACCCAAATGGTGTTATTATAGCAGTCTTCTTCCTGTTCTCAGGTGCTATGGGTATACTGAAATTAGCTCGTTTCAAGTCAAGTATGGTGAAGATAGCTTTGCCACTCAAATTCTGAGTAATTCTTGAATGTGCGGTATCGGGTAACGATCTGGAACTGTCTGTGCATTGAGTCGTCTGTAATCTCCGCACGGCCTCCAAGTACCATTCTCCTTCTCCACCATATGTAACGGATTGGCCCATTCGCTTTTTGAAGAAGTGCATATACCTTGATCAAGCATATACTGGAACTCATTTTTTGCTGCTTGCAAACTTTGTGGATTGAGCCGCCTGGGATGTGCATAGACTGGTTCTCCCGTGGTAACGATGTGATGCTGCACCGTGGTTCTTACTGACCCAGACTTGTTATATGATGTTGGTATTGTTAGATCTTTGAACTCTTCTAATAATTTTCGAAACGGCTGACTCTGGCATATGTAACGCTGTTGCACAATGAACTTTCATGTTTTACTGTCAACGAGAAGTTTACGCTGCAAATCTATAACCTGACCGTAATATTGCAGAAAGTCGGCTCCTAGTATAGGTTTGCATACATCGGCTACGACAAACTCCCAATCGAGTTTGCGCCGCAGGCCAAGATTTAACGTCATCAATTTATTTCCGTATTTTTGTATTGAAGTTCCGTTTGCTGCATACAAGAGTTTGGCAGATGCTGTCGGCTTAGTTCTGCCGAAGATCGAAACGGGTAGAATTGAAAAATCTGCACCTGTGTCGACAAGGAATTTCAATTGTGTCGAGGGATCTGAAACATATAATCGGCTGTATTTGTAATAACTGTTTGCTTCGCCAACCGCCGGTGACGAAGCGGAATTTAGTTTTCCGTAGTTGTGAAGCTGCAGGGCTTGGCACACTTCCGTGCACTTGTGCCCAAACGATGATGGTAGAAACGCACTGGATATTTAGATACCAGGTTTACCGGACGTGTTCGTGAATGTTGTGTTCGTGCCGGTGTGTTTGATCTACGTCGTGAGCGGATGTGGTGTTGCGGTTCTTTGTTCTCTCGTAACTGCTTGCTAAGTTCTTCCACAGCAATCACTAAATGCCTGGCATCAAAGGAAGAACATACAGTTGAATTGTCACCTACATTTCTCGCACTGGTATGCACGTCAGAATTGTAATTTCCAATTTCCACCATTAAATCTGCTTGTTGTGTACATTTATACAAATCAACCTCAGAAATGGACACGACCGCTCGTACAGCTTCAGGCAGACGATCCAACCACAATTGTTTGATTGCGCCATCGTTCATGGTGCCACTGGACAAATTCCGCATCATTCGTAGGAAATGTGACGGCTTGTGGCCACCTAACTGACATAAATGGTTTGTTAGTTTTTCGGATCATGTGGCAACTATAGCATTACAGGAACGTAAAACGGTTAAATCCAAATGGTATACAACCATTTGTTTACCGGAAGTCCTCAGTGAAATACAGAAAACAAACAAGCGTTGACGAATTATTCTCCATCTCCAACAAGACAATGCGAGTGCTCACACATCTCATCTACCAACCTACTATTTGAACATTCAAAAAATCGATTTGATGTTTCAATCGCTGTATAGAAGTTGTTGTTTCAATTGAAAAGCATGTTTTAGAGGTGTCTGAAGAAGATTGAAAAAAATGCTATAAGAAATGATTCGAACGCGTGTAAAACTGTATTAATCGTAAGAAGAATACTTCGAGAAAGAATAAAGCAATTTTCAACGACAACTTAGTATTTTTTCATTATTAGGCTCAAATAATAAATATTGATTCTCGTATATGGGTACTTTTAAAGCGATTTGAACCAAATTATTAATGCTTATTTTTCTCACACAATTTTATATTGATTTTAATTTAAACAATTTAATTTAATTAAAAATATCTCATAACTTCCAAGCCAATCCAATTTGTTATCTAATTAAACATTATTTAAATTTTTGATTTTATTTTCAGATGTATGGCCGTTATACCAAAGATTTAGGAGAATTCGCTAAAGATGAAGCCAGAAAGCTTAAACTACTCGAGAAGCGTCGAAAACAGGAAGACAAGCAAAGAAATAAGGTAAGACCAGAATAACATTCTATTCCTTACTCCCTTTGTTACGGTTATCTGTAAATATCGACTTCTTTATTTTTAATGTTTTAATGCAAAAACTGTGTAAACAATTTTTAAGGTAAAGTTCGAAATTTTTATTAAAAATTTAATACAAAAAATTCATTTGAAAATTCTTATACATACGTATAAGTAGAAAATATTGTAAAGCATTCTATTTTTTTATAATTATTTGTTGATTCTGCTTGTTTATCTCTGGTAATTATTATTGTCTAGAAACAATTTTATTTGGCAAAATGCCCACAAAAACAATTGTTGACATTTTCAATTTATACTCGCATTAGACATAATACCTACACTGTACTTCTTATAATTTTATTTTTGCTCCCATAAGAATATAAGCACCTCTTTCATATCTATGTCACTGTAATATTTACTTTTGTCATATTTAAATGTATGCATCACTATAATCGAAGACAAATATTTGTTCTGCGTTTTTTTTATATATCCATTGCATCACTGATTAAAGTATCTCTATATCAGTGTAAACACATGAATATTAATATCAATATTTGAATATATATATATAATATATATATATATATATATATATATATATATATATATCTATATATATCAAAAAAATATGAAAATACATATGTGGGATAAAAATCACAAACTAAATTGATGATAATGATAATATTATTTTGTTCTCATTGCCTGGAATCGATAAGAATATGACTTTTGACTCTTTATATTTGTTAACTAGAATTATGCAGTTCGACGCCATGTTTAGGCTAATGTATTCGTCCAATCAAGAATATGTCCAATTCAATCTATTTTTTTTTGCTCTAATATATTTTGCCATGCTTTGTACGCATCAAATGAAACTGAACAAACGTAGTTTTATAGCGACAGATATTTGACTAAACTTCCATTCATATTTCTTAAGTCAAATTATTATTTTTAATGTAAAGTTTTTTGATAATAATTCTTCTTTTATACCGTTGAGATAGCTACTGTTGCACATTGCACTCATTCTTGCTTCTCAGAATTTATCTAAAATTTCAGACGTATGAAGCTGAAAATGTAGAAGAATTCATATTATAGTTGCAGATTATTTCTATGGATACTATATTACCTATTTATGGTAATATGCGGCAGAATATTATCCATTAGAAGATTGAAAATTAATTATACAAGGACATATCATGTTGTATACTGAATTTATTGTGAAGAAATTTCATTTTGTTTAATATGAAATTGAAGTCCCTTATATAGCATATTAATCACATTTTTTAACTTAGTTTTAACTTAGTTTTAACTTAGTTAGGGCATGTCACTGTTAATAATTTCCTTCATAAGAATATTTGATTTAAACTATGGATAAATTTTCTGAAAGTGAACAATTTTGAAGCTGCATTAAACATCTGAGGTAAATAATAGGTCTCTTCCACGAGCTGCTCGCAGTAAATTTCAAGTAAAACACACTTATATAGCGTACTTACATATACACAGTGTTACTCAAAGTTAGCTCGTGGAAGCTCGTGGAAGCTCGTGGCTCGTGGAACAGACCTAATGTGCTTGAAACGCAAACCACTATAAAGTCTATCTCTTTATTATCTACCTTTCTTATTCATTATTGATGGGTGGTATATAGTCGCCACAACTTTTGAATAAATCGTTGCCAAACACTTTAATATTTTTAAATGTCCGAATAATACTAAATTTTTGCTAACGAACTTTTATTTATACCATATGTGTTCCTACAGAATCTCTGGTAGTTATGTTAGCTGATATCGCGAATTATTTCTGGTCAATTTTGTATTGCGAAGATTTGCAAGTTTTTTGATTTGCAATTAGCAAATTGCTGTTAACTTGGTAATTTGATTTTTTAAATGATTGCAACATAGTTTCACCAATTCAGACTTTATTCCAATCAAGAAACCTTTGGGTAAATGAACTTATTATTGTGTATAATTGTTACAGTCTTTATTCTTGATTCCTAATGCCAAATTTTTAATAACAAATAAATATATAGATACAACAAAAATTACGCTTTCGATTATAGTTTGCATTTGCTTGTTTTTGTTAAATTTTCTTTTCTTTATTTTTTCTAATATGATATAAACAAATTGATTATAAAGCAGCAGTGGTGGGAAATCATTTCAGGAACTATTAGGTAAACGTTCATCGCGTCTATTGAAGGTTCTATCATGGGTGTGGAAGCATACATTTGCACGGCTAGGAGAAGATTGGGTATTTTTGGCATTATTAGGTGTAATAATGGCATTTCTTTCATTTATCATGGATAAAGGCATATCAATCTGTACAAATGGTAAATATAATAATTCATCCTCTTGTTATATATAAAAGCACATTTAATTTTTGATATTTTAAATATATAATATTTCAATCGTAATTTATTAGCACGTATATGGTTATATCGCGATTTAACCTCACAACCACTCACACAATATTTTGCCTGGGTCTCGTTACCAGTTTGTTTAATTTTATTCTCAGCCGGATTTGTACATCTCATAGCGCCACAAAGTATAGGTAAGTTCAAGTTCAAAATATGGAATATTCTCTGTAAATATATCGTGTTTCTCTATGTAAACAAAGCATAATTCTATGTTTTCGTTTTAACATATCAACATATATTTAATACCCTTTAATTTCTATTTTGTTGTAACTAAATTGTCGAAATGATTGAATTTCATTCTATTTACCATGTAGTTTATTACTATTTCGCTTAGTATTGCATAAAAAACACATTGAAGTAAAGTTGTTATTATTTAGTATTTAATTTTAGAAACCAATCATATATGTATATATAATAACTCACTTCACTTTGTATATCCAATTATAACAATGTAATACCTTATGAAAACTAAGAATATATATAGAATATATATAATATATAGAATATATATATATATATGTACATATGTATATATATTATAACTGTATAGAAATTATTTTAATATTCTTCATTGCATTATATTCCCTAAATTAATTTTTTTACTTGCTTACTTTACTTCAATGGTTTAATGTTTGTTCAAATAACTCACTAATAATTTATACCTCTAAAAAAAATTCCAAACTAATATTTGAATAATTTTGAACAGGCTTTTACGATTTTTAGCTATAATTTTGACCGCAAAAGATTATTTTGATATGTGTTAATATATGAATCAGGAATCCATCATTAAATTTTTTTTGAATATATAAAAAAGGCGCCATTCCAATTACATAAGCGCATGTTATGCAGAAAGTCATGGGCTCGTCAAAATCAAAATTGTTGTTTTCAATGCAAATTATTGAATTGAGAGTGAGAGAAAAAACAAAATGTCGATTCAAAATTGTTTACTAGAGACGAGACGAGACGAGACGAGACGACTATCTATGCTTCGTCACTTAGTCAAAACAGTGTTGTGCAATAATAAATGTTAACAATTTCTGTGACACTCTGCATAACATGCATTTTCGTCATAACCCAAAAGAGGAAATTTTTACAAGCCCGTGACTTTCTGCATAACATCCCACAAAACATATATGTGAAAACATATATTTAACACTTTATATATATGTATATTATTGTATAAATGTAGCATTGTATACACTACGTTTTTGTCAAACGGTCTGATTCTCTTTCCCTGTTTCTCTACCTTCTTCTGATAATAGAAGTTTACTATAAATGGATATAGAGGAAATATATACAGATATGCAGCTAAAAATACTATCTAATAACTAACTGTTTATTATAATTAAATCTACTTGTACTAGCCTTATAAATAAATTAAGGTTTACTTTCATTACAATTTGATTAGACTAATATACCATACAAGGGCTCTGCTCCAGCCTAAGTCTCTTCAGTTCGTGTTCAAGAAAAATTTTTTACATGTTCCCCATTATAATCAATCTAACTTATACATTGATTTAAAATCCAGCGTTTTTGTACAACTACAGAATGGACCACGTATATACCTTATGTATCTAACTTAGGTTAGTTATATAAGTCTAAGATAGTTCAACCTGAATAATTCCTGTTGAGAAACTTTAAAAATGTCGCACTTTTAATATTCATTTATTAGAAAACAGTGAAGCTTAAGCTCATTTAGCTTGTGCAAAATGACAGTTTAAAATCTACTCATCATAGAAGTAAATAAATGTTGAGAATATGATTTTATAGGGTATTAACTAGAATTTCGATAATGCTTCCAAAAAAAAAATGACATTTTAAAACCTATTCGTCATAAAAATAAATAAAAGGTGAGTTAATATATAGAATATAAGGTATTAACCAGAATTTTGATAATGCCTCCCAAAAGCAGAACAGATATAAAGTTTCTTTGTTATACATGTTACCTAGATAATGACACATTAACCTACCAATATTAAATATGGTGGAACGAATGGTTTCAAACTTCGAAATAAATACGGTTTTCTGAAAAATGTCAAATATATTTTTTTAAAAATGATATTTAAAACTCCCAAGTTTTTCATATAAGTCAGCATTAAGATACTACGACTCACTGATACTATGTAAGTAACGAATATAAAAATTTTAAATATTCATAATAAATTTGGTTCTCATAAAACGGATTTTCTAGATACCACTAACATGTTTTGGGGTAACTATACGATATCTATAAATTCTTTTGATATTTTATATATGTTAAATTTTATTTTACTGGATTACTATTAGTTAAGGTTGAAATATATTGTTATTTCTTTTATTTTTGAATATTTAAATATTAAGTAATGATAATAATAAATTTGATCATTTCCTTCACTTACAACTGTATCGCAATGTTGTCTTAGATACAACAAACTTGGCATTTGATATGATAAGCAAAAGGTTTTCATTTCAATAAATGAAATAGATTTCCGAAAAAATATTAATTTGTTAATATTAAATAGTTATAAATAGAAAACTCATTATTATAATACTGATAAAAAAAAAATCAACGTTATTCTCTAAAGTAATTAAAACATCAAAAATGACATACTGCATATGAATTGATGTGTAAATTTGACTTTACATTAATTTTATAACTAACCCTTTCACTCCCCCACTTCCACAATCAATATATTATTTCCCTAGACTCAAATATATATTTTAAAATAAACAAAACTCAAAGTTCCAGTTAATAGTAGCAAAAGTACGAAATGGCAAAATTCCTCAAATTTGCCATTGGATTCACATGGATTATAAGGTTTATGAAATAAATCTTTTCGTTTATTATATATAATACAACAATCCGTATACCTATATAGATTCCATAATTTTTCGTGCAGTGATTTCAATCAAATCGATATGATCCAAAAAGTTTCTTTCAAAGCGTAAATAATAACGAAAAATATAAAAAAAATTTGACGAAACAATAAGAAGAAGAACTTCCTCATTGTAAATATTGTTTATATAAACTTAAACGGTTACATTTTATCTTAATTTTAATATAATGATAGAGTGAATTGAAAAAGTTTACGTTCTTAGAGGATTCCAATTACTTATAATATAAATATTTGCATGTGAAATTAACACACTTATAATGTTCAAATATATTGAAATGCTTAATCTTCTATTTTTCTTCTTGATTTATCAATTAACTAATAATCTATTCGCATGTATAATTACCTACACCTTGTACCCAATCTATATTTAATATATCTAAAATGAAAGTGTATCTCTAGGTTCCGGTATACCTGAAATGAAAACAATTCTCCGCGGCGTTGCACTCAAAGAATATCTTACATTTAAGACATTAGTGGCCAAGGTTGTTGGTTTAACGGCAACTTTGGGCAGTGGTATGCCATTAGGAAAGGAAGTAAGTATAAAAAAATTAATTATATATTGGAATATACTAACGGAAATGTTTGTGAAATCCAAAAGTCTTAACATACATTATTTAGTTCCCAGTATTACTAGATTTATGTGTATAATAATTGATTTTATATACACTTTAGGGTCCTTTCGTTCATATAGCAAGTATTGTAGCACAATTATTGAGTAAACTTGTCACATCATTCCAAGGCATCTACGAAAATGAGTCACGTAATTCAGAAATGTTGGCAGCAGCGTGCGCTGTCGGTGTGGGATCATGTTTCGCTGCACCCGTCGGTGGTAAGTGTATTTCTATATCTTTGTGTATATTATATTATAGTAGTAGCGTATATATGGTATAAATATCATTTGTATAAACCACAGGTGTACTATTTAGCATAGAGGTGACAACAACTTATTTTGCTGTACGCAATTACTGGCGTGGGTTTTTTGCCGCCGTTTGTGGTGCTACAGTATTCAGACTGTTAGCGGTATGGTTTCAAAATGTTGATACCGTACGTGCCTTATTCTTAACAAATTTTACAACGGAATTTCCATTCGACCCACAAGAGTTAGTTGTATTCGCTTTAATGGGGTAAGTCTTCATTATTATATTTATTAACTTATCGATTATAAATAATAATTTAGAATATTCTTAAAATTTACAGAGTAGTTTGTGGGATAGGCGGTGCATCTTATGTGTGGGTTCATCGCAGATATGTAATTTTCATGCGCTCAAATAAAAAAATGAATAAGTTCCTTCAGAAAAAGTAAGTATGTATACAACCCTAAACTTCTAATACTGATATGCACATCCTCTTGGAATTAATTATTCCAAAAAAGCAATTATGTTTATATACGATTATATTAGTATATTTATACACGTAATATATAACTAAATTACGATTTCAAGTAGCTTTATTCTAGTAAAAAACACATTAAGCCATTCTTAAGAACTGCCTATATTCTAGGGTTGTAACGGATGTCTTAATTTTTTCCGAAAATGTGAATTATCCTCATAAAGTCGAATATTCTCATACATACTCGTATCATACTTCAAATCTCAATTCTTATTCGCATTAACATTAAATTATTAAAGAATATGCAAGTTTTAATTTGAAATCTCTCGGAGGGAACCATCGCAAAGTGCCATGCATTGCTCTATGCAACTGAACCAAACAGTATCAGGAAGTAACAATAAACTGTTGCGACAAGATGTACAAAAATAAAAGAAAAATATCTGGTATAAACAGAACCACAATTAAATTTTTGAAAAATGTGTGCCCTCAGTTTGAAACATGTTTCAATAATCCTTTCAAAACAAAATTACCCCAAATAACTTTAGCAAACATATATTACACCCTAGTTTGGAAAAAAGGATATGCAAACTATATGGATTAATGGGTTTGGTCTGTGCAAAAACACGATATTTGCACTATAAATTGACGACATATCGTTCATACTTCTAGATGATATGAATATAGAAAGTAACGAATAAAAGTTTTGAATTTTGACGCGCTCTTCAATGTTACAAGAAATAAGAAGATACCAGTATCATATGATTTGTGGTAGTTTCAAAAAATTTTTTAAAGGAAGGTCGTTGGGTAATTATTAGAAGATAAATAATGCAGTTAGTCTCGAAATTGCAATCCTAAAAAAACTCAAATTTAAGGATTATCTTACAAAGTGGATCTATTGTATTCAAGACTGAAATTCTAAAATTAAAATTCCGAAATTAAAATTGATTTTATCAATTTTTTTTGCCCCTGGTATCTACTATTTTAAAATAAATAATATAACTTGCGAAAACAGATGACATAAAATCATGAACTTAAGAAAACCCCTCTGTGTTTTCTGTTATAAAAATATAAGCTATAATTCTACATGTAAATAATTCTTAATTCCAATAAAGTAGAACTACTATTACTAATCAACCTATTTCTCATATTCAAGTTGTTATATACATATATTATTATGGCCAGAAGAAATTGGCTAAACGTACTAAATACTACATAAAAAATCGCAAAAAATCTAGACTTGGTAAATATTCAATCAAGTTAACGTAAATCAAGTTGGTGAAATACAATTCTTCCATTAAAAGAAGCTGTCTTCTGAATAGACATGCCATACAGATTGGCTCATACGACACAACTGTTAAATAATGCATTAGAGTGTAGGTGGGGTTTATTTTCCTCAGAAATGCAATGTTATAAATTGAATTATAAAACTTCTAATTTCTATATTATGAATTTAAAACAGCAATATGTAAAGAAATTTATCCGTACCTAATAATTATATTTTTACTTTTTGACTCATGATAATCTAAATTATTTTTATTTTTATTTCACTGTTTAGTCGATTTTTATACCCAGGATTTATGGCTTTATTAGTGTCCACAATTTCATTTCCTCTGGGTACTGGCCAATTTATTGCAGGAGAACTTAGTACTCACGAACAAGTGACCCAATTATTTAGTAATTTCACTTGGTCCCGAGATGATTTAACAGTAGACCAAGCAGCTATTGTCATGCATTGGGTCACAAATTATTCAAATGTTTTCATCAATTTGGCTTGTTACGCACTTTTCACTGTAAGTGAAATAAACTTATTTTTTATTAGATGCGATATACACAACATTCACAACTTTATTTTTGTAGTTTTTCTTTTCCATTATGGCTTCTACAATACCAGTTCCATCCGGTAGTTTTATACCCGTATTTAAAATTGGTGCCAGTATTGGTCGTTTAATCGGTGAAACTATTCATTTATGGTTTCCAAATGGTGTAAGATATGGTGGAAGGATTTCACCCATAATACCAGGTGGGTATGCAGTAGTGGGCGCTGCTGCGTTTTCTGGCGCGGTTACCCACTCAGTTTCAGTTGCCGTCATTGTATTCGAAATGACCGGACAGATCACACATGTAGTTCCTGTGATGATTGCAGTACTAGTATCCAATGCAGTTGCTGCATTATTGCAGCCTTCAATGTACGACAGTATTATATTAATTAAGAAATTACCGTATTTACCCGATTTATTGCCATCATCGTCGGGAATGTACAGTATATATGTAGAAGATTTTATGGTACGCGACGTTAAATATATATGGCATGGCATTTCATATTTAAAACTTAAAGAGGTACTCAAAGCTAATAAAACACTTCGTTCCTTACCACTAGTTGATACTCCAGACAACATGATATTACTTGGTTCAGTGCAACGTTATGAACTTATTAAGATGATTGAAAAGCATATAGGGCGAGAAAAACGAATGGAAGTAGCACAAAAATGGCAAAAGGAAGCTGAAGAGAGGTAAATGGAAACTCAATAATGTTATAACTAAAAAAGTCGTTAATATAGTCGTTATATATTTGATATAGAGCAAGAGAGGAGGAAAAGAAAAAACTGGAAGTGGAGTTAAAAATGCGTAGACCTTCACGATTTGAAGTATTGCCAGCACCAGATATTTTAAGCTTACGTCAAATTGCTAACGACGAAATGTTACCACCAAAAAAACGTCAAGAAACTTTAAATAATACATTAGCACCTCGAAAATCCATTTTAAAAAAGACAAACTCCTTTAACTTAAAAGCATTCACACCGACTGCACCTAGCCCAACCATTACACCATATACCACTATTCATACAGGTACAGAATATCGGATACGCTCAGCTTTTGAAGCTATATTTAAAAAATCTTCAACGCTACAAGATGTACAACCTGATCCGGAAGCGGGTACAATTACACCAAGTTTAAGTGTAAATGAAGTACAAGTTCAACGTGCACCCAGTACACCTGGTATTTCAAAGAAAGTTCAGCTAGTAAGTACAATTGCGATTCACATAATATTTTATCTATACTACTATTCATATGGTATGTTAATAATTATATGTTACATGTTTTTGTCCTTTGTTTTTTATGAATGTTTTAATATGTATAATTATGGTTTTTTTACATTATAAGTTTACGGAAAACTCGCTTGAGGAAAATATGGTAATTTTTAAACTAATAATAATCATGCAAAATAGAGGATTAAATAAATTTATAAAAAAAATTTAATCTTCAGAATCCATCTATCACACATCTAATTTATTGTTTGCTCTTCAAATCATAACTACTCGTAAATCATATTCTCTATACATTTGTTTATGTGAAACAAATTTTTTTCATTCTTTTCAAGAAAGGACCTCCCAACACACCGGAGAGCGTTAAGTCGAACAAAATGGTAGGGATTTGTTAATTCAGTAAAATATCTTTTAATAAGGAAGATTATTTTGATACATAAATCTAGTTATGGCATTAATTTGGCATCATTTAATTAAATTGGACTGAAATATTTTGATTCACTCAGAGATAGATACTGGATACATGCAGATGGATCCAGGATAGGTATTAGCACAGAAGTCAGTGTCTACTTAAGCGGCTTTGATATCTATGTCATATTGTTTGTGCAACTTGATTAAAGAGTTTCAAATATTATTATAAAAATACACTCAATTTTGAGCTGCTCTTACTATTTATTTACATTCACACTAAACTCAGCATTCAGCGTCTTAATAAACTAAATCTTTGAAATTCAAAAACATGTTAAAATATTACAGTAAAATTTTTTCTCTTATTCTTTTATATGATGTCAAAACAGTTTAACCTTTATGTGCTCGGTAGTCTACATTTGTAGCATTTTGTGCGAAAAAGTCTTATAAAAACGAATTTTGCACAACGACAGGGTGCGAGATTTTTAGTAGTTTCCTAAAAATCAATTTTAAGTTAATTTTAAACTTAACAACATCAAAACAATAATTTATTTAAGCCCTAGACCCAACTTTTCAAAATGATCACCTCCTGGCCGGTAGTCTACATTTGTAGTCACCATATAATTTATATTAAAATTCATATTAAATACCTATGTAACTCAATATTTTTTAGTTCCAACATGCAGAAACATGTTCCTTTGTAATTTATTTTATTCTCTGTTTACTTGTACATACTTCTGCTGCATATTTGTACTTATATGCATGATTTTATGGTTTAGATCGCATAAATAAATTTTGATTATGTGATGAATGTCAAAGAGACATCGGTCGTTATGCAGCATCTTGATACATTTGTGTCAAGAGATAATACTGTCTGGTTCAAAACTATACCTAATCAAGTAGGTCGCACTACTGCTCACAATGTGTTTCATGACACTACTGTTGGTCCCGTATTCGATACTTGAATAAATTTTGAGAAGAACAAACTAAAAAGCCAGGAAAACTACGCGAAATATTTGCAGTTGGTGCATACAAACCAGTGTGTGACGTATAAACAGTTACATATTCTTTTTGTGAATGTTGTTCCTCAAAAGCTACTTAAAATCTTTTTTACCCAAATTTTGTATAATAATTTTCATAATAAATATGTACAATTGTCTGTAAAAGTAAAATAATCTGCCTAAAAGTGTTTTTTTAATATGTTGGTCTAGATTTCTTCATAACATACTTGCTTGCTACAAATGTAGACTTCCGACCGGCAACGTAGGAAAAATATCCCGAGCACATAAAGGTTAAATGAGATTTGGTTGTTGTTGAAGCTTAAATAGGTACTCAGATTCTAGAATTCATGTAAGAGGAGTTAAAAAAAAATACCTACACTATTTAATAATTTGTTCACAGTACTTCCACAGAAATCTTTGCCATCTCGATAGCCTACCATTTTTATTCAAGCCTTAACCTCTATAATAAAGAATTATCTACTCGGATGGGTAATTAACTGAAATTCAACAATTAAAAATAAAAAATATAGTTAATTAATTCAATTATTCTATGATTGATTATCTAATATAAACGCAGCAAATGAATTTGTTAATAAAACTTTCACAGCAAATTAACAAAACTCCAGAAAAATGTGCGAACATAAAAGTCAAGTACGGCTTTGTGTCAGTTGGTTAAAGTGCGCTGACTCTGAGCTTCAAATTGGGATGGGTACGAGTTCGATTCCTGGTACTTGCAGTCTCAAAAAAAGAAAGTTATTTACGAATAATTAAATACAAGAATGGTGATAGGTATTTGGCAATACTCCAAACAGCTGTATGGTCAGCCAACAAAAATTCAAATAATTAAAATAATATAAAATATTTTTTGTTGTTGTAGTACACTACTATCTATCGAAAAAATTCTTAATAGGTAATTAACAAACTATTAAAATCAATTAAAAATGCAATTATTATCGCAATTCATACTAAAGTATAGATGAGACATCAAAATGCTTGGTAGCAAATCAAAGGTACATTAGTTTTAGTTACATGTCATGTCATGTAATACAGTGTGGCAAGAGTAATCGCAAACCGACTGACATAATCTGACGCGGTTTTTACAGAGCTCCTCCCTACCTATTTAATCTTCAGCTAGGTATTATCTTAAGACTACTGCTACAAATCAACCAACATTTTTTTAGATAATACCAGTGCAAGTAGACTAAAGATAGCATGACTTTTCTATAAAAGCAAAAATTTGTTAAATTTGTTTGTTCGGTTACAACAATAAGCTTCCTTGTTGAAATTAGATACATTTTGCACTCTATTAAAATTTCAAGAATATTCCGCATTGTGTAAGTATATTCTCTATTGTGTATTTCTTTTTTAAACTGCACACTCTGGCAAAGGAGGTCGACGAAGATATACTTACTAATATCGATGATAAATTAACGAATAACTTAAGTGAGGTAAGTACAGTAGTTTGCATTATGTTTCCTTGTTCGTTTTGTTTTGTGATTGTTTGTTGTTTCATTTTTAAATTGGGTTCTGTTTTCTTTAAACGGTATTAAATGGAAATGAAATTTATATATTGTATTCTTTCTCTTTTCTTTTTATTTATTAAATTCATTTTTCCACAACAAAAATTCCGTAGGCGTCAAGGTTAAGAAAGACAAAATCTGTAACATTGGTATGTGGTATTTATAAAGGAAAAGGATAAAAAACAATTTTTTAATTTATTGTAAATATACCTGTTACTAGTAAAATAAAAATATATAATAATAATGTATAATGTATTGTAGCTTATGTATTTGATGGTCATAAAAATTTGTTAACCCCATAATTATTCAAAATTAACTACATATGGTATGTGCGTATAATATTAGAAAAAGTACACACTAAAAACTAATTTATACTTACATATGTATGTACATACATATGTATATCAGAATGTTATTAAAATTGAACACTTTCTGTATATCTTGTAGGGAAACAACGGCTTCGAATATAAATAAATTAATAAAGCGCTTACCATTTTACTATTTTACTTTGCAAAAGGTCACATGATATTTAATGACAAACGGTATATTAGTATTGTATTTTACTTATATTAAGGCTTAGATAGGCTCAGATATTGCTTAGGATATAACTATTATAGCTACATATAATTCAAATGAGTACGGTAGTCAATATGACACACAAAATAGACTAGCAAGAGTTAACCAAACCTTAATATATGTTTTGTCGTATAAACATTTGGTATTTCGAGTCAATTTTAGAATCAATTTAGCTTACAGGGGGAAAACTTTTTATTAGTAAAATAAATGTGTACCGATTTTATATTGTTGAACTTTGATCGCCACTGGTTCTTCGAGATGAAGGTATTACTTACAGCAAGTTGAAGAATTTTAATTGATTCCTTTTCATTACGATCAATAGAAAGCAGAGCAAAATCGTCAGCTAGGTCTTTATATAGTTAAATTTGCAACCTATGGAGAATTTGTTACAAACTGTAGCAATTCTGCATATAATTCACATAATTTTACAATTTACTTGTTCAAATTCACAAAACAAAAGTTCAGCAAATTCTCAGTATATTCACAAGTGGTTCAAACTCTATATTCACAATATATGTTAGAGATTATCAGACTTTTAGTGATTATCGTCAAATTTTAATGATCATCGATTTAATTTATTTTTAAATATAATATTAATATTTATTACCACATAGATTATATTTAATTTTATAAATAAATGTATTATTACTTTAGCCACGTGAACGGGTTATCGACATGTCACCCGAAGATCAGAAAAAATGGGAAATGGAAGAAATGTTAAAACCTATTGATCTCGAAAAAGCAAATATACACATCGATCCATCACCATTTCAATTGGTCGAACGTACTTCGATACTTAAGGTGCACTCTTTATTCTCCATGGTGGGAATAAATCATGCCTATGTCACAAAAATTGGTCGCCTTGTGGGTGTGGTTGGTCTGAAAGAGGTAATATATTATATTTAACGCTATGTAAAAGATTTACCAACAACTATAAATATTTTCTCATATTTTCCAGTTGCGCAAAGCAATTGAAGACATCAATAGTAATAATTTTGTTGTACAAAACCAAATTAAAGTTGAAGAAAAACCCATAATCGAGAAACCCTTGCTTCCCGACGCTACAAGTGACAAGCAAGTGAACACTACTGTTACTTCAATGGATTCGGCATTATCGAATTCCGACAATTGTTCTGATATTGAAATGGAGAATATTAAGACTCAAACACAGCAACAAGAGCAGCCCCAAGCAACAAATCAAATTACTTGCGAAAGCAATGAAACCAGTAATAAGTGATCTAATTGATGCCATAACTATTTTATTATCGTAAACCACGAACCTCATCCAAAGTTTAATATAATAGCATAGATCAACTACTTTTAATTATTGTGTATTCTGAATTGTTATTTTTTCTATACTATAAAATTAAAATAAATTTTTATATGTAGATATTTAATATATTGTAATTATTATTAAATAATTTAATATTTCATGCATTATGTTTTAGACAATATTTCATTGTTTGAATAGTTTATTCAGAAATTTTGTATTATAAGTCAGTAATTGTTATATTTAGTTTTATATAATTTATACTTCTGAGGAAATAAAGTCCCCGAAAATATGTATATAGTCAAAATGTAATAAGCAACGCCTTAATATTAAATCAGTCACAAAAATAAACGATTTTATTCGAATTAAAATATATTTTCTTCTATTCATTTCCCCAAAAACCACTAAAAAAGAATAGTATTATAGTATCCGACATTAGCTTCAAAATTTTATATGTTATATATTATGATAAATAATAATATACAATGCTAGCTTTAGATTTGCCGAAGCTTAATTACCCTTAACTACCTTTATAAAAAACTTTGAATCAAAATTGAAATCTCATATATATGGTGACAATATAAAATGTGTAATAACATATAGGGTAAGGCGATTGAAGTGTTATGATGCTTATCAAACGACCATATCTTTTTTGTGTGAAATTATTTTTTATTAATTTAAATTACAAAAATTTGTGGAAATAACCAAATTTTCAGAATCCATTCACTCTAGCTCGAGATGACCACTTTTTGCCTTCACCTTGACTATGGCTTTCAAACGGTTAAAGAATGAGTTTCATGCTTCACGAATGTGATCTTTCGATATTTTGGTTCATTTCTGAACAATGGCTTTTTTCAGCGCATCCATCCATGCTGGCATATTTTTAAACCTCACTTTTTGCTCTCCAATATAGCCCAGATGGAAAAGTACATTGAATTTGCATCTGTCGAGTTCGAAAGCCATTATGTGAACGAAATGAAGTGTGGAACATAATTTTTTAACCATTCGTGGTTCACAGAAGTTTTATGAGACCAAAACCAGTGCCGAATCTTGTTGGAATCTTGTGGCCATTCGTAATCTCAAATTTTTTTAGGATTCCAAATATTGAACCAACTAAAGGACTAAGTCAGTATGTTGAACAATCTAAAAAATAAAGATTAAGTAGAAAAATGGTGCCATTGTTCCTGTTGAGAATATATAATAAATAAATATATAAATAAAATAATATTCTAACAGATTACAGCTCCTTGTTTTCCGATATATAAAGGGCGATATACGCTCCTTACATATCCTTTTAGAAGACTTTCGAAAAATGAACTACAAAAATTAAAAAAAATATATATATTAAATTGAAAACACATTTTATTTAAAGTTTTTTTGCATTCTCTGCATTTTATTTACTCTCTGTTTGTTTCTGCTGAAATGTATAAAACAATAACTTTTTTTAGATTTATCAGTTGCTTAAACTTTAAAAACATTCTCCTTTTTATAATTTATATATATTTTTATATTCTCGTATTAACTTTTCGTTTTAAACTCATAATCACTCCAATTTAGGTGACAAAAACCCCAATGTTTTTAACAAAAGTATTTTTCGTTTTACACTTTGCATCTTTAAGATACAAATTTATTTTATTCGTTTTTAATTAACTTAAGTTGACTTCAAACAAATAAAAACCAAATACTCACTCACACATATTTGTTAATTAAAAGTTAATAAATGTTTAACTTAATATTATAATGAAACATACATTTAAAAAGTGCGAGAGCAACTTAACGATGTTAAAGAATGCTGTAGATAAAAACTTGATGAGAAGACTTTTTTTTTGTCAAATATTGTATAAATATATACTTTTCGATATTTATTCTCTTACAAAATTTAAAATCTTTATCGGTTATTGATTTTTTTTTTTTCATTTTATGCTTAAATAAGTAGGGATTGCTAAGTAATTACATTTCTTCTACATTGTTCTGTTCTTTTATTTATTATTTTGTATTGTTTTAAAAATGGAAAAAGTAGTGAACATTGAGGATTTTTGTTTATCTTAAAAATTAATGGGGTTTCGGTTTCATAGTGAAAATAATTTTAGAAATAAATCGTTATTTGCTCTAAACTATTCCTACCAAAGAAAAGTTAAATATTTCTCTTTTCATTTAATTATGAAATATTTTGAAATTTCTTTTACACACTTGAGCATTGTCTTTTCTGTAAATATTTTACTAAAATAAAATGCATTTTTAGATGAAGAAAATTATGATGGCACATTTTAACAGTACGTTTTGTTTTTAGGTATTTATATAGTTAGATCTGCAAACTATGGAGAATTTGTTCCAAGCTGCAGCAATTCTTCATATAGTTGTTAGATTAAAATTTATACATAATTTTACAATTTAATATCACATAATAAACCACTAAAATTTTCAAGTGCAAGAAATTAATTTCGAAAATATAGCAAAATAAGAATTAAACAGTTTTTTCATTTATAATCGCATCGAAAACTAATCAGACTTAGTAGATATACTACATAAAATATTGCACTTCAACTACTAACAATGTTTAGCATTCGATTTCAATTATTTATATGAGACAATGGTTTTTTCTTTAATATATGTTTTGTATTACTTCATCAATCAACTTATCATTACAGAAAGATACTTAGATGTATACACCGCATAAACTGATCTCGTCTGTTAGATCCTTGTTACATGAAATATTACATATTTTTATATGACTTCTGATAATAATAATTTTTATTCTCAATATTTAGAGAAATTGCTTTTACACTTTTCTATTAATTATAAACATTCGTACTTCAAAGTTGATTAATAAATCAATACCTGATTGAAATAAAATATTTTTATCATTATATTATAATTTCATAGTTTCTTTAAATAAATATCTTGTTACTTTTAACAAAGTTCAATCGACTTTCGATATGATATAAATATAAGATACTTTATGTATAAAAATAGTTACTTTTTATAGATGATACAAACTAAACATATTAGCATTAAATTTTTTACAATTTCAACAAAGAATATTAGTTTAATCTTATAAGGATTTTTTGTACAATGTGTATTTTATGTATGTGTTGGTTAACCGATAATATGAAAAGTTGCTGGATAAATTAACACTAAGTAGTAAATAGAAAAAGTATTGTTAAGACCATATGAAAATAATTTCAATAAACAAGTGCCTCTCTTTTTCACATAAAAATTTCATTGTAATTCTGTAATTATTAACATCAACATCCATCAACTATTATCAAAAAAGTATGCAAAACTATTCTACACATCAAATTGAATATATGCAATCATGCACTTACGATATTATATATATGTAAACATATAAAAGAAATTTTAAATGCATTTTAAGTTCTATCATAAACAGTTTATCACAGGACATCTGTCTGTTTTTGCATTTGAAAATTTGATATGCCGTGATACTATAATTTGAAGACTAAAATATTTTAAATTTAACTTATGCAGCGGTGTTTAGTTTATTCTGTTAATGGCGTTTTTATTATAGCC